TCTGAGCTCTGCCATCCAGCCAGCGCTCGATCCACCGCACCGTGCACTCGTCTAGTCCACTCTCCCAGAGCTTTCACATGAGGATAGTATGGAAGACGGTGTCAAAAGCCTTGCTTAAGTCAACGTAGACAACATCCACAGCTCTCCCCTCATCCAGCAAGCTAGTGATCCCATCATAGAAGGCTATGAGGTTTGTCAGACATGACTTCCCCTTGGTGAATCTATGCTGACTGCTCCTCAACACCTTCTTCTTTTTCATATGCCTGGAGATTCTCTCTAGGATGAGCTGCTCCATCACCTTCCCAGGGACGGAGGTCAGGCTGATCGGCCTGTAATTGCCCAGCTTCTCCCTCTTGTCCTTTTTGAAGACTGGAGTGACGTTGTCTCTCTTCCAGTCCTCAGGCACCTCTCCTGATCTCTTGGGTACATCCCATTGGGGCCCATAGATTTTTGAGTGGCCAGTTTGTCTAAGTGATCCCTAACYCAATACTCTCAACCGGCGGAAGGTCTTCCTCTAGCTCACTCAAACTTCGTGGCCAAGTTCCACATTCTCCTTTTAAAACTGTATCCAATTGTTTACTGTGCAAATCTTATCCRCAAGATATCTTATCCACTGACATGTAAGCACCGTAAAACGTCATGCACATACATGCACATAACCTGGTGCATCAGGTAGAGCTGTTTATTCACTCCTGAACAGGACTTCTACCTCTAGAACCAGCTTTGCTTCAAACAACAGGTGCTTTTGTTATTTCAGTAGCGCAACACAAAACATTTGTATTCAAGTAGGATTCCTGTTCTCCACAAAATGGTGAGTGGCATTTGTCACTTGAAAGAGAAGGCAAATTATGTCAATTGGACTATCAGAAATGTAAGTATTAGGAGTCTAGTTTTAGACCTTATGAGCACAACACTTCTCTCTGTGGCCATTTTCATACTCCAGCTATCTTATATTCCAAAATCTTTAGCAGGGAGATCATTTGCCCCTACACAGGCATGGAACAGGGGGCATGCATGCCTATCCCCCTAGCTGCACAGCAGCGCAAGTGACAAGGGTTGGCTACACAGACCTTATGAGTAGAGGTCCCTTGATTCCATCAGGATATGAAAAAACATGGGTTTAACATGTGAGGTTTTCTCTCCCTACCGGGAAGTTTAAAATCTTCCCGTACATGTAACTCTCTCAAATATATGAGAAAAGAAGGGAGAAGAGATCTTCAGTTTGGTGTTTTGATTTCAAATTTGTTACTTCTCTATTATTATCAGTCAGCTTTATTCCTGGAGGAAAGAATGTCTAGTAAAAAACATCTTCCAGACAGTCAAAGTAGAACTGATCAACTGATCAGTGCCATGATCTGTGTTGATGCTGGATGATGATGATAAGTTTCAACCTATATTTAGCAATTTTCCCACAAGACAGGGAACAGGAATGTCCATGTACTTTCACATTTTGGATTCGACTTGAAAAAAACTGTAGGAGCATTACAGACTTTTTTTCCCTGAATTTCTGAAACAGTCTGTATCAGACTGACAAGTGGCATTTCTCCAAGTTCTTAGAAAAGTCTGCCACACTGTATGGTTAGCACAACCTGGGCACAAGATTATATTGGCCTACCTTATTTCCAGTTATTTATACAGAAATACTTAAAGATCTACAGTGTTAAAATGTAGATTTATTTATCTGAGAATTTAATACTGAAGAGAATACCAACTTAATAGTTCTCATAGCAAAACCTATTTGGCCACAGAACCAAGTGCAGAGCAGACAGCAGCACAGAAACTCTCTGCTTCATCATCAACTCAAGATGCTTCAAATTTTGCCTCACTTCAAAATGCCACAAGACTTGTGAATTTTGGTACAGTTTCTGAGTTCTCTGCTCCAGCTGCTGCAGGGAAAAAAACAGACAAGATCTGCTCCTGCCTGAAAGCTTGAAGCAGTYGGGAAAAGAAAGAAAGGAGAATTAGCAATAGAAGTGAGAAACATCCCACTGAGATCACACACAGCAGTGAGCTATTTCACTATTTTGCTCACTGGTTTGAAAATAAGAGTAGGATAACAGTAGGACTTTAAGATGCACTAAAATTCTAGTAAATTTATTTAGCAGCTACAAGAATGAAGTGAAAAAAAAAAAGAAGAAAAAGAAATAGAAGAAGTCAAGAGACTGACACTTGATTTACACTTTATTATACTTTGTAGGCTGAGTGGCAGGCAGCCACAGGTGTACCTCATAAAGCTGATTTTCTAGTAAATGAGCCCTAATTTGAGTCTAAGCTAAGTTGAGTCTCCAGGCTGGTTCAGTCAGGATCTCAGAGGAACAGCTAAAACAGCTTTGTTTGTTCTGCCCTCTCCCTGCAGGAGAGCAATAGAAGGTGTTTTTTTCTGTATGCTGTTTTGCTGTGGTAAGTATGAATTCTTAACATACTGATTAAATGGGGGAGGCATGGGTAATATTTAGAAAGACTCCGCAGTTGACAGCATTAATTTTGTGTAAAGCCTGTTTGCTCACATATGCTGGAAAGATCACATGTACTTAAAGAACAAACTTAATTCTAGCTTGAATGGTTTTTCCTTTTTCCAAAGATGTTATGAATCTCTAATGTAGGAAACAGCTTCTACTGCCTGGTATTTGCCTCCTGGGGCAAATCTTTTAAATTTGACATATTAAGAAAAGTGCTTAAAAACTGTATTTGTATATAAAAAAAAAAAACTCTCAGATATTTCCTCTGAGCTTCTGGCCTGCAAAAACCTTTTTATGAGGCCAGTTTAAGTATAAAACACTGAGTATTTGTTATCTATTGGCAATCCGGCTTTATAGATACTTGCACATGGCTTTCCTCTTTGTGTTACAAGATTATGCAAGTGAATGACTGGTGTTTAAGTGCTGGCAAAGCTTGCTGTTGTTGCCATTTTTTGAAAAACTTACTTTTATCTAAAGGCTAAACAGGGTGTTAACTTCTGAGTGCAGGGGAGGTTTGTTCACTTTGCTGCCTGATGTGCAGTCTGTTGGTTAAAGAAGACAGTTCAGTGAAGTCTGTATCCTTCTGGGGGCACATTGGGCTTTGTACTGCGCAGGGGGAAATCCCTTCTGGGCTGTGGCAGCAAGTATTTTGCCCCCGCAGGTAAACACGTCACTACCCCTCTYGCAAGCACCACTGTGTGAACTCTATTATTTATTTTTCTCTTCTTTCTCTATTCCAAACGGAAGGCTGGTCTTTAATATTACTGCTCTGAGAGTTATGCTGCTTTTGGGTAATCCTTAACTTAAGAGCTGTGGCAACTGTTCCTGCCACTAATGTGGGATAGATAGCTAACATAGACTGCACTTCTGACTGTTTCCCTATTCCCTAGTTTAATAAAACCAGTGAGTTGAAAGTGATACTCTAGTGGAATGTAGGTGCTGAAACTAAAATATGGGTTCAAACCTGTGCTGTGAGCAAAGGCAAGAGTGGAAAGCCGTGAGATAAAAGCATGTGACTATTCAGTTCAGGGTGAAAAAGGTTGCAATATGCAGATTAGTGATGCTATCTTGTGTGAGGGGAGGGTTTTATCCTTGCAAAATCTATCTCCTGTAGCTTAGGTGCACTCCTGTAGCTTAGGTGCGCGCTGTATTTGAAGCATCTGTTTTAAACCTCACTCTGAAAATAGAAAATAGAAAAGGAACTAAAGCATCTTGTGGGGTGCGTTACTTGGGGAAACTCCAAATGTGGTAACGTATGCAGTGACAGCTGCAGCTATGTTAATCGGTAAAGGGAAAAACAACAGCTCTTGTAGGTTCACTGCCGTGCTGAAACGCCTGCTCTGCCCGCTCCTCTCCCAGGATCCACAAAGAACAGCCCAGAAGGACATCCTAATGCTCTCTGGAAAACAAATTGCTTTTAAACCTTACCTTCTGAAGACTATCAGAGGGTGAAATCAAGAAAGCTGCAGTTCCTAAACTGACTTGTATAACTGGCCCATAGAATAAGATTGGAAGCCAGAAATGTCTAGCACTATATGAAATAGCTTGGGAAAATATTTGGACAAATGTGGTTATTAGACCTAAAGTTAGAGAAGTAGGTAAGGAAGCATATGGTACAAATGTGACTGAAAGTAATAACTAATTTTTATATCTAAAAATCTATTTTGAGGTAAGATGAACTGGGTAATGTTGCTTAGCATTTCGCTTAATTTAAGAAGATAGTCAACTGATGCTGTTCCTCAGATTCTTTTTAATTTTAAATACAAAAACTGGGAGGGGGGAGGAAACAGCAGGATTTTGGAAAATGTTTTTTTCCCTTTTTTCCCCACCCCTTCCAGCTCCACACCAGTCTGATATCCAGTTCTTTGTAGAACTAGAAGTGAAAGTTTTTGTGCCAGTCAGGATGTGGACCAAAGATTACTAACTAACTTGATGCTAAGGTTTCAAATTGCCTACTGAACAGAAAAATGGGTGCAGAGGAGCACTTATGCTCCTGTCTCTGAATCTCATGTCTTGTCTCTGTTCCTGTCAGGCACTTTGCAAGAGGAAGAAGTTGATAATGTCTTCAGAACATGGAGCTAACAAACGGCATCATAACCCAGTGGAAAGTATTTGCAGAAAGATCAAATCCATCCAAATGATGGACCAGGTCTCTAATCCTGCATTGCAGATACCAAAATTTCAGTCCCGGAACTTTGACAGTCCACAGTATAACATCAAAAAAAATCTAGAAGAAATACTGAAGAAAAGAACATGTAGAAGCCATAATAACACTGCTCCACATCTCATAAGCCCCAGTGGTGACAGTATCTTCTCGCCAGATTTGCGGGGGCTGTCCCCATGTCTYGGGCGTATCTCTGACTGCTCTTCTGTGAATGCCACCTATTCAATCATTGACAGTGAAGAGAAGATGAGTAAACCGTGGACACCAACRTGCCAGAGTGAGAAGAGTACTCCGTCCCTCTTCAGAACTAGAGAGGCTAATGCCCGGAACGAGCTATGTGTCTTATCAAGTGCTGAATCTAAAGATGTGCCTCATGACCAGAAGTACCTTACGTCAAGCCCAAACTTACATTTTTTGATATCTGATAAAAAGTCAGAAGGTGCTGTAGCACAGCCTTCTGTGCCAAGGAGGCTGTCTTTGAGTGAAAGAGGTAAAGTTTTGGAAATAAAGTAAATAAATAAAAAATCTCAATCAAATAAAACTAGACATCAGGACATTTGGCCTACATGGCTGAATTTTACTGCTTTAAGAGTAATAGATTTTCTATGCCACTCTAATGAAACTGCGAAAAGAGCTATGTAGAACCTTAATCTTTCTCTGAAAGCTATTTATGTTTGAAAGTTATTCAGAAAGTAAGTGGAGGACGTAAGCGTTGAGGAAGTAAGGATTAAGTCAGTATATTTTCAAACTTGATAATTTGTTTATTGAGAGGAGTTATTTTGTTTGTTTATTTGCTTTTTATTTATTTGCTTTTTATCTTTAATATAGAAGATAAGTGAGTTTGATTTTTATGTGTTTTGGGTTTTTTGTTTTTTTTTTTGGGGGTTGTTTTTTTTTTTTGTTGTTCCTGGTGTCTTAATGATTGATTTCTTTTTTTTTTTTGATTGTTTTCAAAAAACAATAATCTGATTCTAAGTCTTCCACCACCAGTGTATATTGGGGGAAGGGAAAGGGGGAAGATATCTGGCTTCCTGAAGTTCTGTTCTATATCATGTTTACTATATGCAGTATCTACTTCTATACATAGATGGGTAGGAATGTATATTCTAGTTCCTAGCTTCTGATGCTCTAGCTATGGACAATTCCTGACAATATTTAGTAGTACTGTCATTTTTTTTAATTGTCTGTGTATTATTCAAGCTGCAGTAGGCCATACTCGAGCTATTGGGCAAATGATACTGTAGTTAGAGACAGTGATGTTTGAAGTTTGCACTGAATGAATAAAAATGGACAAAACTATTCTTTATAGGGTGGAAATGGTCCATGGGCTACAAAGCTGATGATATATATGATGTAAGCTTGATCTGTGAAGAAGACTTGCTGACTACTATCTTCTGTGCATGTGATGTAGAGCATACAGGTTTGCCCATGGCTTTTTGTTGTTGTCTTTCCTCTTAGTACATTTTCAAGGCTCAAATAGTCACTTCCAAACCATAATGCAGTCTGTRGTATCCTTAGATTGAGTAGCTACCTTAGCTGGCCAGTTATACATGTGACAGATGCTAAGTAAATCTCTGTACCACTTTGTATGCTGCCTGTCTTCTATATCCTATCAACCCCCCCCACAAACTGTTTTTTGCCCTACTCTAGAGAATTATCACACTTCTTCCTATCTACCTTATAAGTGATGATTATTTCTTTTAGGCGTTTTTCAGTTAGAGAAATTAACTTTTGGAAACTTCAGAACAAAGGTTTACTCTTCTGAGTTCCCTATCTAATATAACTAAATCTGCAGGTGGCTTTTTTTGTGTGCATGTGCTATTGTTTATGTGGGTTTCTTCTGCGGGTAGGAGGGTGTCTAACTGTATGAAATAGAAACTGCCAGTCACAGGATTCACCTTCATCTGATGATGAGAGCCCTGAAAGTAGTAGCATAGCAAAGGAGGCTTTTTTTTAAATGATGTCATAAAACGAAAGTACTAGACTTCCACACTTCCATTTTTTTTTTAAACAAAAGGTTCTAAACTACCCCAGATCCTAAAAGAACTTCAGTGATCGCTTGCTTGTCTACCAGACAAGCAGACTAGTTGCTGCCAGACTAGATCAGTAGCATGTCTTTTCATAGAATTTCCTACCCTCTCTGATGTCCTGCTGGACTTTAAAATCTAGTGCTTGGACACCTTTGTCTATCCTAGGAAAAGTAGCTGTTTCCAAGATTGTTGATTTTCTGAGACATACAACTAGTCGAGGATCAGAGGACAGTGGCCTTGAAGAGCTCTGCAACATGCTTGACCCGGATCAAAGAGATGTCTCTATGGACCTGGAAACATATCATGCTATCATGAAGGAGTGGATTGAAGACTGTAAAAGAAAATGGTAACACCTTTTTTCCTCAATCTACCTCATAAAATCTTCTGTTAAAGCAAGAAAGCAGAAACCATTCCCGTGATTCTTATTTTCAGTATCTTAGAACAAAGATAACGTCATTCTGACAACAGCATATTTCTTGTCTGAAAATTTTTATATATTTCAAGTATGCAATCTGTATCAGACTATTTCATGTTTTCTTGCTTCAGGGAAGAAGACTGCACAGAGGAACCAACAGCAAACATAGATGATCCGGAATCTAAAGTACATAAAAGCATCTCTGAAGGTGCAGAACCTTTTTGGTTCTGGATTTTGGTTGCTGGATTTATTGTGAAGAAATTTGCACTTTCTTGAATTCTAACCAGAAATATCTCTTACAGCAAAAAAGATGTCTGTCAGATTGAATGTTACTTCAGGAAGTTTAGAGGCCTTTGGGGGTGATGCATCCAAAGGAGACTTGTAAGTTCATTTAAGTAATGCTTTCAGGGAAGTTTGTACTTCCAGATTTCATTATTCARGAGCAATTCCTGGAATTGTTATTTCAGAAAACTCTCTTGGCAAGGCTTCTAATGCTGACCTCAATGTGCCAACTCTTGATGCAACAAGTTCTTCCTCACAACTTCTGCTAAATAGTAAAAACATGTTAATAAATTGACTTATTGTTATCTTGGTCCATCTATATTGATTGACCTTCTTAATTTCCTGCAGTCAGAGTTTTGCTGTTGGTTTCTTTTACTCTGCAAATATTCCCCCTGCCCTTCTTCCTCCAGATTCTCTGGAATCTGACCATGGAAGATATTGTCTCCTATATTTCTACTCCTTAATTCTGCTTGGGCATTTCTCTTTATAATCATGACTATTATTTGGATTCAATAACAGCAGAGTCCTTAATAAAGACACTAGAAGATAACATACATTCATATTATAAGATTTCATTTTTGAAAGTATAGGTAGGGGATGGCAAGGGGCTCCAGGGGAAGAGAAGGGACCCAGGACTTCTGGGTTTTATTAATTAGAATTAATAAATTCTAGAGTAATTTCTTGATGACCTAGAAGGAGATTAACAAAGGCTTAAGGTATTGTCCTGCTGTCATCCAGCCTTGGCACCTGTCCAGTGGTGTTGCAAGTCATGTGTGAGCTACCTGCTTACCACTCTAGTCAGTGGAGCAGGGCATCAAGATTTTCAAAAMCTCTAATTGGAACAAGTCACCTTCATATTTCCTGGTTTTGTTACTGAAACAGGGAAACATCTGACTTGATAACCTGTGTGGCAGACCTGCAGTACAACAACCAGAAGCTTCAGGAAGAGAACAACAAATTGAAGCTGACACTGGAAGCTGTAGATGAGGCCAACAACAAGTTAATGGCAGATAACGAAGATTTACATCAACAAATAAAAAGGTGGGAGACCTTGGCATGCCTGGTCTGTGTAAGGCTGTGGATAGGCCTCTCTTTCATGGGGCAGGCTAATCTTGCTTGTTTTTGGCCTCACCAGTACTTCATGGCAGTAAGTTTCATGAGTTAATGCAGTATCTGCAAGGCATAATTCTGTGGCCAGTCCTAGGTCAAATGCTCACTGCCAAGCAGTGGGAAAATATGCATGTAAGAGCTGTTTAGCTAGTCATAGAATCATAGAATGCCCAAGGTTGGAAGGGACCTCAGAGGTCATCGAGTCCAACCCCCCTGCACACACAGGGTCACCTAGAGCACGTGGCACAGGGCCGCATCCAAGCGGGTTTAAAAGATCTCCAAAGAAGGAGACTCCACAACCTCTCTGGGCAGCCTGTTCTAGTGCTCTGTCACCCTCACATAGAAAGTCCAATAAGGAACTGGATTTGGTTGTCTCAGTGGACAGCTGTAGCCTGGGGACCTTTTAAAACCATGAGTTCATGGCTATTTTTAGTGAGTTCTTCCATCTTATCCAAATAATTGGAGTTATGTCAACTACCAAACAATTCTTAGTCTAGCTGCGGGAGATTAAGGCAGGAGTCTTTCTGCTTTGCTGATGCAGGACATGTGTATGTGGCAGACCCTGTGGTCTGGGCTACTCTGCTGTCTAGAGCTACTGGTAGGACAGAAATCTTCCCACAGTGTGGAAACCTGYATAGGTTGGTGTATCAGATCAGAACAATGATAATATGATGCATAGCTTATCTCTGAAAATTGAACAGATCTCCATAACTATTAGCAATGAGGCTAAGTAAAGATGTGTTTGTGTGCTTGGACAACCAGACAGATTTAACTGTTACAAGCTTGATTGTTGGGTAGATGCAGACAGAAAAAGGCTTGATAGGTGCTATCTTTATGCAGCTCTTGTTTTGAGATTGGAAGGGCACTTCCCTCGCACATCGAACTTGAGCAAAGATAAAACAAGATGGCAAGTCCATAAGACCTTTTTTTCCCCAAAATGAAGCAATAGATTTAAACTTGATTGTTGCTCTTATGTTAAATATCTGTGCCAAAAGAGAGTCCCTGGGGGCTTCTGAAAATGCTGTGTATTTCAAGCCTATCTATGACCAACTAGCTTAATTTTTCCTGGATTACCTTCCTTCTCCCCAGTATCCAGCACTCGGTGCTGAAAGCCAAGTTGCTGGAAGAAGAATTGGAAGAAGCAAAAAACAGCCTGAACTTCTCAGAAGAGAAGAGGCAGCAGGTTCTGTGCCAGAATAAACAGCTAGTAGGTGATCTTGCTTCTCAGTTAATGCTGTACAACTTCTTTGCCGTAACAACAGAATGACCTATCTGCCCATAAAAATTGTCAGTACCCATCAAGTACTGAGGCTTTTTGAGAGAGTTTTAAAGCATAATTTGTTCAAAAATATAATTAGTTATGTAATCTGCTGTAACTTTTTTTCCCATCAATTACAGTGTAGAAAACAATTTTCACAGTGGAATGGCCCTTTTAACTATTTTATATAATTACACTGAAGACAACAGTGTTAACAAATGTTGAAATCAGGCCTCATCTAATTTGGAGCTTGATATATCCTGCTAGGAATTTTGAGTGCTGCACTTGGCTTTTGCAGACAGAGGACAGCAGGCTTAGGTCAGATGCCCAAAGAAAGGGATCTTTCAGGACATCCTAGGCCTATGAAGAAATTCAAAGCCTGCCGGAAAGCTGTCCATTTGGCCTGACAGCTGGAAACTGGGCAGCTTTAGAGCATCTGAGAGGGTGCAAGCTGCCTGTGTGGAACTATCTGAATTGCCACCTAGATGGCTGGAGTGGTTATTGCTGCTTTTTTTTTTTTYCCCCTCTCTGATGCAAGTAGTGTAACATGCATAGGCTTTCCAGATCTGCCTTGATTCAGGTATGAACGTAACTAGCCATGCATATTCTAGCCCCAAATGCCATCACCTGGTCCTCTAGTGGTCTGAGTTTTACTCAAATACGAAGTGTTGGGGCCAAACCTTGAGTTTAGCAAGTGTTGTATCGTTAAGGGTTTGTGAACTCTGCCAGTTGCAGCACTCCTCATTCTGCTTTCCCCCCGACAGCATAGAAATGTGTTACTGCAGCTTCCCACTAGACCTGAATGTGCTTGTGATCCATGGCTTTTTGGATTAGTCTGGCTTTGAATGTTAAACTTGATATGCTAAATATTACTTGTGAAGATATTTTAAGAATTGCATTTTTTAAAACATGACTGAACCTAACAACTTTTTATTTTTTTATTAAAAGGAAAAAGAAAATCAGTCACTTGTCATCAAAATGACCTCTCTTCAAGAAGAGGTAAAATAAATCATGACTTTACAAATGCATGTCCTTGTCTAGCTAAAAGCTCACAATCAAGAAACAAATTTTATTCAGCTTCAAAACCTGAGGTGCAAACTAACTTAGCAAAATATGTTTCATAAGAATGGTCTATCTTATCTCTATATCTTGACATTGTGTTGTGCTTCAGACATTCCATTAGGTGAGCAAGTAAGGACTGGGAAATGAGGAGGACAGAAACAAAACAACTTCCTGCTACAACGCTTAAATCTTGATAGACAAACTCTAAGTATTTCTAGGTATTTCTAGTTAACATAGCTCTAACTCTGTTTCTGTACAGAGTGTAATTTTTTTTTCTTCTTTGGATTGAGGATCACTTCCATTGTCCTTCTCTAAGATCCAAATGAGGAGTCCTGTGTAGAACTGTAGCTTCAACAAAATGCAGTAGCTGGGGGCTTCTCAATTCAGATTGATCCTTTAATACTGAGCAAGAATCCACAGGAGGCTTGAAGGAGATACTGTTCATAGATCTTGTATATATTGGTTCCAAGAATTTATTATTGCGTAGTAAAGTAGTCCCTGCTTATTGCATATTTACAGTATTCAAGATTAGTCTTTCTAAAAAGTTTTGTAAATCTGAATTGCTATTCATATGCTCTATGTTTTTAAAAATATTTCTTCTGCTGCAGGTGTAAAGGCTTTCATTTAGTTTTTCAGATTGATTTTTGGTAGTTTTTGAAACTGTGGGTTTTGAGGAGTATTTTTCTTTTAATCAGGAACTGAAGAAATGAAAAGTGATGGAGAAGCTATTTCAATGGGAAAAGCTCTGTTCATCTGAATTGAAAACAAATTTCTTAGAGTTCTGTTGGAGGTGTTGGTGTTACTGAGTTTAATCCCACCCTTAAATTTCTACATTTCAACCAGAATCTTGCATTCAATGGCGGCATGCCTGAACTTTGATTGTGTCATCCTACAAGTTTTTTTTTTTTTTTGCCTCAAATTTCAAGATATTACTTTGATATGAAAAAGGCATATGGTAGATGAACTTATATTGCAGTGCAATTCTTGTCCCAAGTGTTTGTGGGCTGGGGTAGTCCTGACCTTTGCAGCATCAGAGCTTAACTTTGAAAAGTATTAAAAACATCAGAGGAAGAAGTATAAGGAAGCTTTGTATAAACATAAATGCTGACACTGCTTTAGAGTACGCAGTAGTTTGGGGGTGAAGTTGTCATTATGCTTAGCTTCTCGTAAGAGAATCTGTCAATCCATTTTATTGCGCCTGAACACTCTGCATATTTTTAGAATATTAGGAATACCCTGGACACTGATGGACTTCAAAAGAAGATTTTGGAGTTGTCTAAAACTACAGCAGAGCTTCAAGTAAGTGTTTTAACTTTAGAAGGCACAAAAGAGATGTTACAGTCTACCAGAGGAGAATTCCCCCTCTGTAAAGGTAAATACTAAACTAGTGAAGAGCAAGAGTGCATTTTAGCTTAGACAGTGTGATAGATTTGACTAGAAAAGTTGTTATCTGGAGCCTAGAAACCAAGCTCCTTTCGACAGTCCACAGTTTCATTCTTCCTCCTAAATTTTAGGAAACCTTTTCCGTATATCTTGAAGAAATATTAGTAAAATAATGTATTTGCTACTGTTGCTGAAACTGTTAGCCTGATTAGAAAAGGAAAGACAAAAATGTTTCAGTTCCCACAGTGATATCTGTTTTACCTGGGTGCAAGATTTTGACTTTGAAAAATATATGCAAGGTACTTAGCAAAGTCGACTCCCTCAAAACAAGGGATCACGATGCYCTTTTCCTCTCTCAATATGAGAGAGGAACAGACTTCTCATAGTACATGCAAATAACTGGAATACTTTTTAATCTAATCTCTTYGCACTTCAGATCCAAGCACACGACTATGAGATTATTGTGGTGAATAAAGAGGCAAGCCTGATCCAGGTTAGTTATTTTAATTTTGTCTTGCTTTAAACTTCTGAGTATGGGACACATGGCTGAAAATCCAAGGCAGCTCTCCTGTGGTACTGTTCTTTCTGATATTCTTATATGACAGAACCTGATCCTATAAATGGCTTCAAAGTAGGCGAGATATACTTTAAGAGCTGGGTATGAGTCAGCATAACTAAGAGCTTCAGGATTTGGCTTTAAAAAAATAGATACATTTAAACAAAACAAACCTGAACTGCCAAGAAATGCACAGAATTTTATACACAGAAACTTAAAGCTGAGTTTCATAAATTGGCAGTAGAAGAATGTACTCACAGAAGACATTTCCATTTCTGTYCTCTAGTTCTGTTGCTTACTTCTCTGGCTAGACATGGTGATCCAGAACCCGCCCAGAAACACATGTCTAAGCTTTTCCAATACTGAGTTGTAATTGCCTAGGCTTTACTTAGGTATTTTTCTGATGTTATTTTTCAACTGTAGACTTTGAAAACAAGACAGAAGACCCTGTGTAGGGACTTTGGTGTTCTCTAGCATGCAGTTCCAGTAAAACAACTTGGCTAGTGAAGTATTTGGCTGCTAATATATCTACAAAAGTGATTGCAGTTTCAATTTGATAGTGATAAGAGAACCAAACTTCAGTGTAATCCAAACTGATGAAAATATGCTTCCTGACAATTTTTAGGTTTTGACAGAAGTGGTCTCAGGATACAAAGGAATTGACACTTTTGAGTAACTTGCAATTACTCATCCTTGAATGATTCAAGGTTTCTGTGGCCTGGGCAGTATCTTTCCCCTTAAAGAAAGGCTCACCAAGCCTATTCACTAGGTGGGAGATTTGAATGCAGTCTCTGAGACTGCATGGACTTTTAGGTAAAGGCCTATAGGTAAAGGAAAACTTGCACTTATAGGTAAAGGTCTGCATAATTTTAATATGGAAAACTGATTTTACTTGTTGGCATTAGGAATGAGCTTAACAACAAAGACAACCTGGATAAGATTAAAGGTGCTAGGAAAACAAAAGAATGATTGCCATATTCTCAGCCACAAACTGCAGAAGATGAAAAACACTTGACATTTTATTAATTTTTATTTTTCCTTGTCTTTATTTTGTTCATCTTCAGCATAAGTCATTTGTCTCTGCCAAGGCAAACCTTGGAACATTAATTTCTCATGTTTGCTTCACCTTTTTGGAAAAACTTTAAGAATCTTTTAAAGAGGAAGAAGCTGTAAAAGGAAGGAGAGTAAGAGTTCCTATTGCAGGCTCACATTTCCTTTAAGGAATGTCCTGATGGCCTGTGCAGTGTTTTCTACCATAGTGGCCTAACAGGTTTGTTCCTTTGCATAGCTAAGAAAGCTACTATATCAAGTTCCACAGTCTTACTGTGAGGTGTGAAATATCTGTCAGTCTTTCCATTAGATGATGTTTCATCTGTGGAGCACGACCCTCTGTACCTTTGATCATGAATGCTTATGAAAGCAAACTTGTTTAGGAACACAGCGTAACTTGTTTAAGGGGCTATTTAGGATTAATGCTCATGCCATGCATGCTATAGTCCACACTTTCCACCAAAGCTTAAGTGCTTCTGTGTATTTTAATCTGCAATGCCAGTACAGAAATTAGGAGAGTAGAAGATAAGCCTTGGCACTTATGAAGAAATTGTCTTTTTGCTTAAGTCCAGGCATTGCATAAGAGAGTCTTTTCTTTTAGTCAACAGTGAGACACTTGGCTCTATATTCCTTCAAATTTGCAGTTTTGATTTGCAATTTGCAGTTGCAATTTGCAATTTGACCATTTTTATCTTATGCAATCAGATTGCTTTCCCTCTCACTTCTGCATCCTTTTTCCCCTTCAAAAAACAAAGCTGCGAAAGCACCRGAAAATGGATTGCTGTTCAAACATCAAATATACACCTTAATGTTGTGGTAAAGGATTGACTATAGTAGTATTCTAGCCATAGAGAATCTTAGTCACATATTAGCTCATTCAAATCACTAAGTTATTTGTGTTTTAAAGGTTTTTCCTCTTTTTCTTCTGCAATCTTTGCAGAAGGACCAGGACATCAAAGAACTGAAGTCAACAATTGTGGAATGTTCCTCAATAATAGAGGTATGGGGAGTGAATTTGACTTCTCTCTCTATGTGAGAGAAGTGTGCACATCTTATTTTGTATGGCAAACTAATTTTCTAACCAGGTCTGATGTGTGTTCTAGACATTGCGAGCTGAAAAAAATAAACTACTGGAGAACATGCAGCACATGCAGCAGGAACTGATCTCGTGAGTATTGCGAGCAAGGCCCAGAAAACACAACTTTTTGAAAGACAAAAAGAATGATGTGTTTTTCTTTTTTTCCCTCTGTTTGTTTTAGAAATGGTCTGAGCTTCCCACTGATATATAAGCTTAACAGCAGTATAGCTGAAGGAACAAACTCATTGCACTGTGAGCTGGAACTTGCACAGGCTTCTGAGGTATGAAGTAAATTAAAAAATCTTATCCTATTCTGCAACAATAAATGAAGAACAGGTCTTCAGTGAATGAGCTTGTTGGATTAACTCTAGGAATTAAGATCTAGGAGTTAGAGCCTAGTATAGAAATGCAGGAAGTGAAGATACAGTGTTGTGCACATTAGATACAGTCCACAGAAAAGCACATAAAACATCTAAAAAGTATGACCTACAAAATATAGCTGAGAGAGCTGAAGTCGAGTAGCTGGCAGAACAGATTGTTGGAGTAGATGAGAATCTTCAAGTACACAGAAGGCCATTACTGAGGAAACCAGTGCTCTGCTTTCCCTTGTGCTAGTAGCAGTGGACAAAATTTTTTTTTTAGAAAACGGCAGGAGAGGAAGTTGCTTTTTCCCCGAAACCTCATCTAATGGAAAAGATAAATAAGCACTGTAGCCTTCTGAAGGTTATCTCTCATCTAATTGCTTCTTTAGTAACTTTCCCAGGTGTCTCTTCATAGGCAACACTTTCTCAGCATGAGTAGTAGAGACTGATCTCTTCAAGTCATGTCTTTTTTTTTTATTTATTTATATTTTCCTGTTGGCTCCAGATAGTTGCTTGAAAGAGGCATGAGACATTCCTCTGAGCACAGGTTGCCAAAATCTTTGGGCTACAACTGAGCTTGCTTGTTTTGAAGTTGTAGTCTAATAGAGGGGACACCTGGCAGCAGGGGGTTGGCTTCTGTTGGAAATTGTGCTTTTTGGAGTGCTGATCTACCATTCTCCCAAACTTTCAGGACTTCAGTAGGGAGCTATTCATTAGCTACTTATTTCTGTAGGGTGGGATTTGGCAGGGTTTTTTGTTTGTGTAAGGCTTATTCTTTCATGGCTGCTTCCATAAAGACCTGTCCTTCCTAATAGTATTCTCTTCAGATACAAATTGCTTGTCAGAGCTGGTGACAAAGGAAACCTATTGCAGTGTCTCTTCTTGCAAGTTGGCRTGCTGCTACTTGCTTTAGCATTTGCTGTACCTGCACTGTATTTGCAAAGAAGAGGTAGCACTTGGAGGAGGTGAAAAATCTGCTAAAGGACTGAAAATATAGGCCCAGAAATAAGAGAAGTGACTGGCCAGGCAGCTTTGCTTCAAAAGCAGTATATGTTAYTGCAATTTGCACAGCAGCCTATTGTGTAATAACAGTTATCACTTCTCAAATTCTTAAGTGAGATGCAAAATTTCATCTTTACTTGTAAAGAAAATATAATCTCTACTTATTTCTCACTTGGTAAATACCATGTAACTGATAATTGACTATCACTTGCTTATTTCAGGCATGAAAACTTGTGTCAGGTCATTCAGCAGTTTCTTTAAAATCCTCATGGCATGATACTTTTGAGAAGCCTTTACAAGCTTCAGGTTTGCAGGGGCTCTGACCTTCTAGTAAATACAGTGCAGGGATACTTCAAAAAAAAAGCCTAAATGTCACTGATGCTGCTCTGTAGTAAAGAGATGTCAAAATAAGCTAGCTGACTCTCTTCCCTCTTCAAAGCTTACCAAGACTGAATGGACATCTCTGGATGAAACACTGGACCGTGAAGTGTTGTTCTTGCTTCAAGGACCTGAACATGCTGGGGAAAGATTTAAGAGTATTATGCAAAATCTGGTCAGTCGCATAGCATATATGAATAAGGTTATGGTCTTTTTATCAGGCTTTTAATTATGACTACTCTAAGAAGTCCAAAAAGATCAGCTTTTCTTTAGAAAAAGTAACTTATTTCTTTGAGGGGATGGATGTACTCTCTAAGTGTCACTTGGCACCCAYTTAGAATGATAACAGTGAGAATTTGTGCAATTCTGGATGGCTTTACGTAAGATTAGTATTTCAAATGCTGGTATTTCTTAACTTTTCATTTTTTTCTGCAGCAAGAAGAAGCTACTGAACCAGAGAACCTTGTCATGACTATTTTACAATGGATGGAAGATGTTGATGTTCCCATCAAGCAGATTTTGGAGAGAAAACTTGTAGTAAGTAATTAYATTTCTCTAACACCACTGTCTTAAATAGTGGGGCTGTGCAAAAATCTGAGGTGGGTGCCTTGCTGTTGTGTGTTACATACACCACTTGAGATCGTAGCCATCCCCTCAAGGTCAGGTATGGCTCTAAGCAGAGAAATGTCTTATTATTCTAAGTTCCTGCTGGGTCAGKGGAGAGATGATAGCTTTTAACTCAACTGCTGTGTTTTTTTGTGACTAATCTCTATAAAATTTAACTTTATTTAAAATTATGCCCAAAGGAAAGGGTAACTGAAGCAAGTAGTAGACAGCAGCACTATGTATGGTGGGAATTTATGAAGCTTTTTTGTCCAMTGCATGCACTGGAATGAAAGCTGAGTTGATTAGGTGCCAATGTACAGTGCTACTATGCAGCTTTATCAAAATTGTAGTTAAGGGTTCCCTTTTGTTTTTCATGTTTTCCCATGTGCTATACTTGAAATTATGATTAAGTAGTGGATATTTGCACTACCAGAAAGAGCAGGAAGGCTGCTTTGTAACTGCATTTCCAAATCAAGGCCATTAGACTTTGGTTTCTTGTGCTTCTGCTGGCCATTCCTCATAAAAAAAGTTTCTACAAATACATTTTTAACAATTTTAATCGTGCATAATGTTTTAAAATATTCCTCATACTTCTTGTAGAGCTCAAGACTTAAGGCTTGTGGTCAAAGTAACTGTGTGGTGAGAATAACTTCCTCATGTGGGAGCCGCAGCCGCCTGTGGACAGGACTCCACACTCTTGCTCTTGTCCTTCCCCCTCCCACATAGCAGCAGTTTCTCAAATGTTTGTCTCGCTGGTTATAATTTCTCTCTAACTTGTTCCTTCTTAATCTATAGAAAACTTTATACTGTAAATTAACACTGTCTTTGGACACCTTTATAGACTCAAGCCCAAATTCATCCTATTTAAGTAACAGCAAAAGACACCGTAACACGCACTGCTGTAAGATGTCTGCTTTTAAGTAGTGTTCAACTTTTGGTATGGGTGTTAAGAGTTCATAATGGTGATTTAATCCTGTTCTGGCCCATAGACAGTAATACAATAATCAACTGAGCTAATCAAGGCTAAAAAGTATGATCAAGATAATTTAAAAATAGAAGGTCACTTGCTGCTGTGACTCTTGGGAGTGAGAGGTGATTTTAAAGTCTGTCTTTACCTAGCTAGAACGAGATAGGTGTGCGAAATATTGTATGTATTGATGAACAGCAGTAGACTTTAAAAAAAGTGAGGGTAATGACTTTCTTGTCCTTTTCCTGCTGGAAAACTTGAGTTTGCCACAACACACATGGGCCCTGATAAGCCTATGCTGCTTATATTTAAAACCCATGCTATTTCTGATGGCAAGGGCTGCCTGCTCTAACAGAGAAAGATCTTCAGGATGTGGGTATTTGCACATGCTCACATCCCATGACACTGCAGAAAGCCTATCTAAAGACGCCTTCTATGTGACACATGGATATCACATGGATACCTAGGCCTTCTATGCAGCACATGGATATCGGCCAGCATCGGACTGGAGCCTGAGAACTAGTAAGGACATCTGTATTTGTTGGAGAGAGGCTTTCTCCCTTGAACTAGTGAAACATCCTGGAAATCTGAACCTTTTCCCTCACTGACCCCTGTTTCAGTCTTGCTAAGCAATTGTTAAAAGCTGAACTTTCCAAATTGTGTCCCCTGGTGAACAAGGTCAGAGGAGGAGAACTGGACTCCTCTTTCTCATTACTGCATACTGCAAGTCACTGTTAAGTAGTTCTATTAAGTAACACCAAATCCTCTGTTTCTGAAGACTTCATTTTTATTCCTCTTTTTCCCCCCTCTCCCTCTGTAAAAATAGAGGTAAAACCAAAAGTCTTTGGCACTGGGTCACCCTTGGATGCATATTTCATCTGCTAGATGTGCAGGAGAACGGTTGAAGCTTGGCTGAAGCACCTTTCCCACCACCTCCTCTGTCATTCTGTACTTAAATGGGCACCAATGGATTTGCAGGCATGCTTTGAGGAAAAGGATTGTAGTAGCTAAAAGTGACCACTTAGGGGCTTTCTGCAAGCTGGGCATTAATAGAACTTTCACCTTATGAAAAATATTTTTGTTACTGTGCCTGGGGCAACTGGTAATGGTGGCTCTCTAGGATGGACTGTAAAGAATCCCTTGTGTGCTGTGTCTTTACCTGCCTGTTATTATGTACTTGCCATAAACATAACTGTATATTTGTTTCACAAGGACAAACAGGAAAGAGGACCATCTGTGTTCCCTAGCTTTTACCAGAAAGAAAGACTGGGAGTGGCATCTAATTCAGAAATGACCTTTTTCCAAAAAAAGTGTTAAATTGGAATAGCATAAATGGGATTAAGTGTTGAGTGTGGAAACTGTTAGTTATTGCTCCAGTTAACCTTATAAAGTACCAGTGCTCTACAGGAACTAGCATGTCTCTCCCTGCATCCAGTCAGGGCCAGGAGTTGGAAGGGTGTGGGTAACTAGCTTAGGTTGTTTCATCAAGCTCTAGACTGAACCAAATGCTGCCCCATATGGTACAAAACCCCACTTCTCATTTGTAAGATCTTTCTTATCAAGCAGTTTCCTTATCTCCCTGCTGTTCTTTCCTGCCCTTCCCTCAGCCAAAGGCTACATAAACGTATTTATGAAATGCTGTGAGCCTTCAAGGTACCTTCAATTACCTTCAAGGTAATGCCACATTCTGGGTAGTGTTGGATATGGATGGTAGGGCTAAAGGGTGGCACTGGAAAATCCTCATGGTGAAACTGGTGCTGGCTTCCCTATGGCTCTACTCCTCCTCTACTATGTTGCAATTTAATTTCACAGATTCTCAAGCAAGAGCTAGAAGAAAAGAAAGCGCTTTGGGTCCAGAAACTTCATCTCTTAGAAAAATGCATGGAATCCCTAGATAAGGATTTTATTAGAATGGCAGGCAACCTGAGGCGAAGCAAGACAGAGCAGCTTCACTTAAGGAAAGAGCTGTCTGCCAGGTACCTCTTCAAAGCTCTTTGCTTTTTAATGATTTGAGGAACAAAGATCAGTGACCTCTGAAGGGTTTGTTTCATAAGGGGAAAACTCTGCTGTCCTGGGTCTCAGGTCTGCTTTTAGTGTCACTTTGCATTGTGTGGGAGTTGAGGCTGTATGTAGTAACGTAGGTTGTATGTAACGTAGATCCTGGAGATGTCCCTTAAAAATACAAGGGAGATCACAGACTAAGCAGTTAAGAAAAGGAAAAGAAACCCTAACAGGTGCAACTGTTGAACTGCTGGTTGCATCTGAGCCCAGAGACTTGTAAAGCATAGACTTGCAAGGGTCCTTGTTTTTGGAGACATTTGTTATCTCAAGTCAATATGTTGTCTTAATTTCTTAGTGAGATGACCTCAACCTGTCATTAAATATGAAAATATAGTTTTAAACTATATTTTTATTAATTTATTACTACATGGTTCCTGTTTAAAAATATGGCACTAAAACCAAGCAGACATAACCTTCGGTCCTTTCTCTCTCCCTTCCCTATATTCTCAGATGTTCAGGAAAGGAGCCAGGAAATTGGTTCTGCCTGAACAATTAATCTGAAGTTGCTGTTGAGCCAGGCTTACTCAGTCATCCACCATCCTTAGCCAAATATAAAAACCTGCACATATGCCTCTATCTGAGATGAGAGTATGAGCAGCTTCCTAGGCCTTGGCATTCCCGGGAGCGGGTGCTAAGGTTTGGTGTGCTAAGCTCCTGCCCTCTGGCTAAACCCTAAGCTTCCCTTGCCCTGCTTATGCAGGAAGAAACTGAGGGGAAAGTCCACCCCCTTCCTCCTCGGAGAGCTGCTGCAGAAGAGCTTTCCCCGCCTGCTGGGTTAAGTTGTACTTAGCAAGGAAATGGTGCCCAGTGCTGGGGTGTGGGAGCCGTGCGGTGCCGYGGCTCTTGGCGTGCGGCCTCGCAGCGTCGGTGACGGTCGTGGTTTGTGCTCTCGCACCCCGCAGGCAGCGTGAGGTAGAAGCTGTCAAACAGTTGCGAGAAGAAGCTGCTGGCCAGGCGGAAGCCTTGGGTTTGGATCTAGAAAAAGCTACAAGGCAACTCGAGGATGCCAACAGACAGGTAAGGGACCATCTAGTCCTTCCTAGGCAAAAGGAAAGGGGGGGAGGGGGGGGAAGGCAGACTCAAATGCAAATGCAGCAGATGCAGAAAGCAGTGTGCAATGCATTGCTGCTGTTGGGAAAGGAAATCGCATGTTCAGTATGGAGCGCCTCGTTGCAAAAGTGGAACCAGCAGAGGAAGTAAAATTTGAGGGGGTGGTGACAACAGTTTGCTGATGAAAGAGGCAGCATTGCATATTTGTGGTGGCTTGAAGAAAGAAGAAGGAGGGGGAAAAAAAAAAAAAAGAATAAAGCCAAAAATAGCTTCCATACACAGTCCACCCCACTGTGAAAATGCAGAAGTTCAGAAGGAGCTTTATCACTTCCTAAGAGAGAACAGATGCACTTTGGTTTCACTTGCAGGAACTATAGAGGCTGCTTGCACTAACCAGGCTGTTAGCTCTTGCTTTTCGTGCTTTTGCTTTTCTTTCTTGATTCTTAAACATTGTTTTGTGCTTAGGCAGAGGAGCAAGTTGAGGCATTTCGTTCTGCTTGTGAAGAAGCTGCCTCCTTGAGATTCAGGTTGGAGGAAGCCATTTCTGAGCAGCAAAAACTCCAGGATATGAATGCAGCTTTAAGGAGCGTTTGCCACTTGCTTCAGGAAAAGATGGAAGCACAGAAAAGTGAGTAACTGCTGGCACATGCCAGCACATATTTGCTTTGGAATGGGCAGATCTTTTGTGGCTTAACCACAAAAAGGGGGACAAGGACCGACCCTTAGGGCTCCCTGTGGTAAAGTGCTCCGTTAGAAGCTCTCCTCCCTTTAAGAGGAGGCATCTGGGCTCTGAGTCAGACAGATCCTGCTGAGTGGGTGTTGGGCTGGACCAGACCTGTGGAGCCTCCTGACACCATCTGCGATAGCAAGAGGAAGGAATGACTCTACAGATGCTGTAGATGCTGTTTTTACACCTGAATTTCCCACCTCGCTGCTGTCCGTTTCCCATCTTCCTTAGGCTCCCTGCCTTCTGCTCGCTGCTGAGGTTTGCTGCGTATTCCCAAATGCCTGTGGTGCATCAGGCTATTCTCCTTGGTAGAAACCAGTTGTGTCACTATACTCAGTGTGCATGCACCAATTTTGCTAATTTTTGCACTGAAATTTCATACTGTTTGCCCACTCCTTAACATTGATGCCTCAAAAGCTCTGACAAGTAATAAAGTAGCTGTTTGATTCCAGTACAGGCAGCTTTTTTTTCTCTCCAAAGTCTGGAAGCATCTGGCGCACAATGCGCCTGCTCGTGGTGCTGTCCTGCATCCTCCTGCATGTTTCCTGCATCCTCCAAACTCTGCGAGCTTGTTGGCAAGCGGCAGGGCAGCAACACAAGCAGGTCTCCCTCCAACTCTGACCTGATGGAGCTTTTCTGCCAAGCAAGTTTCTTAAAGCAGAGGAGGAGAAAGATACTGTAGTGGATTCAAGCAACACAAACTCTCTCCCAAATCCTGAGGAAGATTCTGGGTTTAAATGTATTTAGGGTTTTTGTAGGGATCACTTTCTATATCCAAGTAGGAAGAAACTTGTAGTGCTGTGGAGATAGATTTGAGAAATAAGGATGAGAGTAGAATGGAGGACCTTTCTCCTTTCCATCTTTAATCTTTAAAAGCTGAGAAATTAGGAAACCTGTTGGCCACGGAGGATGCTGCCCAACCATAGGCAGCCTGGCACAGCTGCTCCTACACCTTGGGTGTCCCATCCTGACTTGCCACTGAGTGCTGCAATCTTCATCCTTGGAAAGCTGAATAAGCCCATGGGAGTTGGATTTTRTTCTGACTTTTGCACTGAAACCGTAGTGTTTAATCTTAGGCCCTGGTATTGTCCAGTTTTATACTWTAACAGAGAATACTGCCAGGTTTTAAGTAAAAGTCACCTACCTTAAATCTTTCTAAGAGGATGTGAAGTTAGAGAGGAAAAATATCTTTTTTTTTCTCCTCCTCCCCGCTCAAAAAAGTTGTAATGGAGTTTTCCATTTCCATAAGGAAGTGTTGCACCTTGATATAGTCCTGGTATAGGGAAACATCTTCTCCTTTATAACAAAATAAGAGGAATGTAACCACATGGAAAGAAAAGTAAGTTGCACCATTTAGGAAATACTAAATAAAACACACTTTTAAAATTTCATTTCCTGTAAATACTCCTGTAGGTAACTAGCCCAATGCAAAGTGCAATTGGCTTGTGGTAGACAGGAGTAAGGCTTAGGGACACTGTAATACCTGTGTGCTTGTTGCCAAGTTTTAAGGAGCCCGTTCAGATTTGTACGTGTCTCTTCATAGCAACTCTTAATGAGCTGAGGAGGGAAGTGCTTAAAGGGCGACTGTCTGGATTGCACCGCCAGGTATGAGGCTTCTCTGGTGGGGGAAAGCAGCCTTGCACAGGAGGGGCCCTGGGGAAGGACACGTGTCGTGGGGTTGAGCCGCAAGCGGTTCTGCAGCACTTGGTTTCTTCTTATCTAACGCGCACGTAACTGGAGTTGAGGCAAAGCCAACTGTATTCACTGATGGACATGTAACTGTTTTCACTCTTCTGCTTATTTTTATATATATATTTAAATAGATTGGCGCTTAACTGGGAGAGGGGGGAGCTTTCCCTGATGCATTGATTTGACTGGTCTGCTATGGTCAGCCTTTTCTGCAGAGTCCTAAAAAAAACTGTGCAGCACTTAGTTTTACTGTCTATTCCAATGCCTCAACATTATAAATATTTTACTACAGTTACCTTTGTACTCCTCTGTGGAGATACATTGAAAACGATCAACCTCAAAGATTTTCTTTTCATAAAAAAAAAAAAAAAAAAAAATCCCTTTTGGGAGAAGGGGGAGGGAGGAAGATGTTGTAGGAAGAATCCTTTTTTTAATCTCTACTGTCTCTAGTAAGGAATACTACTAGCTCGGGAACTGACAGTCTGGATTTAACATGGAATAGCAAGGTAATTATCCAAATACAGGATCCTACGGTGTATCCTAGATCACCACAGGGCATCAGGGGAGCTGAATCAAAACTCTGCATCAGATTCATGTGATCAAAACTTGTACATTTGCATGAAGGTTTGCAGAACTAAGGGCTAAAATTAGCCGAGGGAAACAACTGGCACAATTCTCTTGGCAGCTTGGAAAGATAAAATTTCACTTTGTACATAACCAGTAGTACAATGTTCTTTCTTTTTGACTTTTTTTTTCATTTGACTGCCTTCCTTAACCTGTTGTTTTTATTGCAACAGAGCACTGTAGATGAAGAACCTGATTATAGCCTGCTGCCCACATCAACTGAGCCTGCGAAAGGGAAGGTGAGTGGGGGTTTGCTCTGCCCACTGCTGAATCTGCTGAAATGGGGCACTTTTGTCTATGCTTGTTGGCGGATAGGGGAGGGTGTCAGGGTCCTGACCTGGAGCAAATAAATGACTTTCTTTAGCAGAAACTCTACAGAGCTAAACATCCAACAAATCTGAGATGCCTGCCCTGACAAACGCATATAGGTATATTTAAAGCTTTAGTGCAAAGCTAGTTTCTTACTGCTCCTGAACAGTCACTGTGACAAAATACAGGAGCAGCTTGAGAAATTGCCTTTGGGGAAGGATCAGAGGCTGAAGATAGAGCTGCATGTTCCACCATCTCTTCCATTTTCCATCATTCACACTGCATATAGTCAAATGCAGCTGAGTAGGTGTTGCCTCAAGAGCTCCTTTCAGCCACAGTCAGATGAAACTTTACTGCTAAACAGCAAATAGGTTATGTGCCTTTGGGGATGGGGAAAGTCATGACAGAAAGTGTCAGGGYAGATGTCAAACACTGGGCAAGTGCCTCACTGCTGGTTTGGCCTTACTGCAAGCAGAAGAGAGGATACAGCCCTACTCTGCTTGTCCAACCTATTTTCTTTTTACCTAGCTGGAACCAATATGTCTGTTGCAAATGTCATGTTAAAATTTGGATTATTCTACCTCTTTCTGTATCTTTTCTGTCTGTTGAGGATCTGAGCTTTTCTGGGCAAAGTACAGCAGATGATCTATTTGTGTAGCTGTTAATATGTTATGCAGATGTAACTGAAGGGAGCAATTTCGTTGGTCTCTGGGTACTAACATGTTAAAAATTACTGACTAGTATTATTGCTCTCTTTTTTTAGCAGCTTTGCCACTCTAAAAAACAGTGGATTGAGGGACCCAGCTTATGCACTGGGCATTTTGGAACACTGCCCTTGGATATTTCACGCTGGTCTCTTACACCCCTGTTAGGTAAGACCTTGCTGGAAATGACTGGTTTGGTTTTGTTTTTTTCTTCTATCTCTCTTGGTCTCCTAAAATAACATAGTAGAGTTGATAGATGATCTACAACCACCKTATTGGTGCTAAGTAAAGGGTATTGAAACAAATTGTGATGGAAATTGTTCTTGATGTGGTGCTCCTCACTGAAAGAGCCTCTCCCTAAGCCTCAATGACAGTCCTGTGTGTGTGTGTGTAGTGGAGCAGGGGGGAAGCTGTTTTGGCTTTTTTTATTCATGAGGCTCAGTTGTGCTTATAAAGGTCTTCAAGACCTAAAAAGGTGTTTTCCTGCGAGCACACCAGAAGTCCCCAAAAACTTGTGAGATGTTGGTATAAGTCGTATCTCCCGGTGAGTTCCTGACGAGATGCTTGCCAGTGTGAGCTAACAGGCCCTGAGCTGCATTATTCCCAATCAGCCTGTAAGTTGTTGCTCGGTGAGACATCAGCCCTCCAAAAGCTTGTTTCAGTGCATGAGCTTGAAGGGTAGTTTCAACCTGCTGTTGTGCCCCGCTTGGGTCACAAGTAAGGCAGGTGTTTATGGTTTGAACCAGTGAAGAGCTACTACCAAAAAATTTCCTCGAACTATCTCACCTTCATCTGCCACATAAAACAATGACCCTTCAGGCAGAAGTTTCCATAACCTGATGATATCTTCAGAGGTTGAAGACTGACAATAACTCTTCACCCTAGCTCGCTCTTAGCAAGGTAGAGCTGCCTTATTATAAATCAATATTATAGTGATTTGCCCCTTGATTATCTTAAATTCATGAGCAAAAACTCACATAAAACGCTACATCTAAGTTTGTGTTGCCATTCACCATACCTGTATCTCTTAACAGATGCTCTGACCCTGGAAGTCTCATGCCCTCATAACTCTCCTGTGCCATTCTGGCATCCCCACTGCAAGTGGAGCTCTCGCAGCTGCACACTTGAGACCTGCAGTCTGGATGTGACACAAACTGAGTGGAGGTAAAATAGCAAAATAACTAACTTCCTGAGGGTGAAGGACAGAAGAGTCCATGGGATATAGTGGGTTCCAGGTGCACACGGAGAGTCCAACTCTGGGGCATTGATTTTAAGAAATACTGGACTCCGAGTGATCAGCTATTTGTGGGTAATGCTTTTCCTTAAGGAATCTATACCTCACCAGGTTAGTACTGGATCCTTTGGCTGATGCTCTCATGTAGACACCTGCCAGACTTGATGATGCTGTTTCCACTTCTTGCTAGAGAACTGAGGCTGAGGCAGGCATTCTTCTGGCTGTTCTCAGTATTTAGCTCAAAACTGACTTTGATATTTAGGAGCCAAAATTCTATTGGCTTTGGGGGGTTAAAAGTGTGGGTCTGGGTGCCCTGTGCATTGTGCTCTAGGTGCCCCTGCTTGAGTGGGGGTTTTAACTAGATGATCTCCAGATTCCCTTCTAGATTCACAACCATTCTCTGATTATCTATTTATTGCACAGCTTATGATTTGAATGCAGAAATTCTGCCTATTGGGCTGCTTCCTTAAACTTTTCAAGTAGAAGTTCTTAAGGTTATGAAAGATCTCTAATAATTTTAGGTGTGTACTTAAAGAACAATAAGGATGTTGCTGAAGAGCTGGAAGCAGGCAGTGTGCAGTAAAGGTCTTGACAGCTCTTGAAGCTTTTGCCATGGAATCTTCTGTAGGACTGGGTAGCCCAGAGGAGGCTGGGAGAAGGATGCAACTTCTATTTCTCTGGGAAATCAGCTGACTATATATATAAAAAATACTGAATTCAGTTGTCATGTGCTTAAGGGGAGGGAGGGGGGAAGGCAATAGATTTCATTGCCTGGGCAATATGCAAATAACGTGTGTATTGCCAGGTGGAAAATATGCCCTGCTGGTAACTGTGCTGATGCAGATCTTCCTGTTTCCATTACAACGATGGACTCCTCACTGGCTGAGGTGAGAGCTGTCTCTGACACCCCACATGTGGTTTTGAATGGGTTCACATGCTTACTAGTGCCTTGCAAAGAGCCAGGTGTTGAGCAACTATCAACTGGCACCGCTCTGAGGTGGATGGAGCAGGTGTCAGTCGGCAGGGAGCTGCAACCCCTTGCCTCATATGAGGCATCCCCCTCCTTTTGGGCACATCCAGGAATACTGCAGATGCAGGGCCAAGCGTCCTGATGTTCATGCCCATCAGGATCATGCTCCCAGCTAGGAGTTGGTTGCTAAGGAATATTTTAAACATGTCTTCAAGGCTTGCTGCCTCAGCAGTAATAATCAGCTATGTCGGGGTGACTTCACTCTTGCTATCCACCTGTAAGAAACCACAGGATGTTTTACTTTTCTGTGCACTTTCTCCCACACTGTCAAGTAACATCTGGAGGGGCTGCCAGGACTCGCTGTGGAAATCCAGACCTTGCTCAGGCATGTTCCGAACTGGCACGGCAAACGCCAGTACTGGTGCTGCTGGTGGCAATGGGAGATGGGGTGGGCTTTCCGTAAACCTGGAAATAACCTTTACAATACCACRAGTGGGTAGCCTTGGGCCTAGCCTGGCTGGCACCTCACCCATAACTGCAGCAGTCATGGGCTGTGGCAGCAAATCAAGGCAGGAAACACGGAGGGTAAAAAGCAAGAGTGGTGGGGACGGCCTGTGGCCGCCGCGTGCGGCCCTGAGAGGTGGGACAGGTGGGGAGCRCTCTGCCTCGCGGCGCTGCCATGTCCCCAGCTGCCCGGAACAGCAGCATCCTGAGGGCTCTCGCTCCTCCCAGCCCTTCGGCAAAGCAGCAGGCCTGGGAAAATTCTCTGAAATGTCCAGGCTTGATTGCTCGGAATCTCTCTGCAATCCAAGTGGGCTTGGAAATGTCCTTTTCTGATTTCTCCCTGCTTCCTCCGTAATTCCTTTGTGTGAATGTTGTGGAAAGGAAAACAAAAGCATTAAAGAGCATCCTAAAGAGGAAGCAAACTGGTTGTGTCCAGTTACCTAGCCTAAAAACAGTGACGTGCAGCAAAATTTGAATATCCTTGTTTGATAGGGAAAGTCTCCCTAGGGTTTTTATCACATCGTGGTTGTAGATGCGTTTGGGATCGAGCCCTTCAGCACGTAAGTAATTTGGGCTATTTCACCAAAGTGTTGTCCCTGGAGGAGCTACA